ATAGCTTCACTCCCTCTTCTTTGTGGCAGCCCCTGAGATAATGGAACACTGCTATCATGTCCCCCCTCATCCTTCTCTTCACTAATCTAGACATACCCAATTCCAGCAGCCTTTCCTTATATGCTTTAGCCTCCAGTCCCCTAATCATCTTTGTTGCTCTTCTCTGTACTCTTTCTAGAGTCTCAACTCAACAATTTTACTAAATTCTAGCTCAGTTCATCATTCATCATTTAGTTTAGGCCAGGGGTAGGCAACCCAAAACACTTAAAGAGCCACTTGGACCCGTTTCCCACCAAAAACAAAACACTGGGAGCCGCAAAACCCTTTTGATATCTAAAATGAAGATAACACTGCATATATTGTTTTTTACCTTTATTATAGGTGTTTGTGTGTGTGTGTGTTTGTGTGTGTATGTGTGTGTGTGTGTGTGTGTATATATGTATATGTATATATGTATGTGTATACACACACACACACACACACATACAGGTAAAAAAAGGATATATGCAGTGTTATCTTCATTTTAGATGTCAAAAGGGTCTCTCTCTCTCTCTGTCTCTCTCTCCCTCCCTCTCTATCTGCCCTTGGTCTGCCACTCCTCTTCCCCCACTCTCTTTCTTTCTCTCTCTCTCTCTCTTTCCTCTCTCTCTCTCCCTCCCCCCCTCTCTCTTTCTCTCTCTCTCTTTCTCCCCCCCCTCCTATCTGCTGCTCACCTGGCAAGCTTCAAGCTGTTGTCCAACAAGCAACCTCGTCTTTTTTATGACTCATGGACTTCAACTCCCAGAATTCCTGAGTCAGCCTAGCTGGGCTAGCTAGCTCTCTCCTACTCTTCCTGCTTCTTGCTTCCTGCAGAGACGCAGTAAAGGGAGGAGCTCCGCCCAGTAAGCTTTTCAGCTCCTCGGAGAATACTGTGAGTACACTCTCTTTTACACATACACACAGACACAAACACAAACACACACACACACAGAGAGAGAGAGAGAGAGAGAGAGAGAGAGAGAGAGAGAGAGAGAGAGAGAGAGAGAAGCAGGGAAGTGCAATTGCCTCTCTCTGTTTCTCTTTGCAAAGGCAGAGGAAGCTGGGAGCCACAGGGGAAGGCTCAAAGAGCCGCATGCGGCTCCGGAGCCGCAGGTTGCCGACCTGTGGTTTAGGCCTTTCCTTTTGTTCAAGTGGCATCTAAAGGGATCCAAATGGCCTATCAGCATTTCATACAGCTTTAGATCTGGGTGTCCCCTCTGGTGTTTGGGCCATGCAACGAGTAACATGCTGGTTGATTGACTTTTTAAATTATTTTTTGTATTGGAATGATTTTTGTGGCACTGGACGTTTATTATTTGAATTTTTTTCTTGTACGTTTTAATTTTTGTACAGCCACCCAGATTCATTACCATGAGATAGGCAGCTATTCAGTTTGGATGGATGGAAGGAAGGAAGGAAGGAAGGAAGGAAGGAAGGAAGGAAGGAAGGAAGATAATATATCAGAATTTCAGACTGAAGCAGCTTCCTAAGTAACGAAATATGATCGGACTCAAAATTGTTCTTACCCACCTAGGCTTGCCTTGGGGCAGGGGTGTCAAACCCGATTGCATCGCAGGCTGTATCATGACATATCGGGACTTGTTTTGCCCTTGCAGGGCCAGGGTGGATGTGGCCTGCGTGGGCCACATCCAGCCTGCAGGCCGCATGTTTGACATGCCTGCCTTGGGGAATTTCTAGACAGGATGAGAATTTCTTGTCTAGATTGGAAACAACTGTAGCTTTTTACACTTTTCTATAAATGCTTTCTTGAGCAACTGTAACTTTTGAGTTCGAAAGAGGAAGGGTAGCAAAAGTGGTCTTAAAAAGGACCCTCCCTGGTTTCTGTGAGAGTAAAAATGAAAGAAGGGAAGAGTATTTTCAGACGTGTAAGAGTCTATTAAACTTGCAAATCTATTCTGTACCCTTATAATAAAGATAGAAGCAGCACTCCTTCGTTGTGTTTCTGGTCCGCACTACCTCCACAAGGTTAACAGAAACTGCATTCTATTAACTTCTGCTCAGCCCAATCCTAATCAAACATACTCACAAACAAGTCCGATTCAATCCTTTCCTAAAATACTAGCCAAGCTTCAGATTAAATGCTAACAAGAAGTTGCACAGCACAAATGTATGAAGTAAGAGTGGGCTACAGTTCCTGCTTGATCTACCATTAAAAATGACATATATGCGCATGTAAGCAAAACAAATCCTTCTGTGTAGATAAGCCTTTCATAGGAGACTTAAAAATAAAAAAGTTTAGAGAAGGAACACAAAAATTCCTGTGTTGTCAGACAGCACTTTTAGAGTTGCCAATATGCTCCGAGGAACATTGGTAGCAATTTCTAAAATATTCTGGGCATTCTCTGTAATATCTAGCAATAACCAATGTAAAGCATATGAATGACTTTTCTTTCTAGTGAACACATTCTTTGTCTGCTCCCCGACTATTAAAAATGCAGTCGTATATTGCAAATCATAATCTCTTAATCTATGCTCCAAATATTGTAACTGTACACCAGATGTACTGTTTTAATTTAATTCACTATACTGGATAATTACACTAAAACTAGTCAGCTATATAACAGACAAGCTAAAACTAATGAAATATAAAAGCTGTTAGATGCATGCATGTACAGTGAATAGCTTTGCAACATGTGTTTCAATACAATATCCAAAATCAGTGGCAAAACCAACAAGATGATTTCAGTACATATTAACAATCTACCTGCTCTTTACATTATATATGAAATAATATAGTATTTCAAATTACTAATGCAGAATTCTAGATAGAAGAAAGTTAGAATCTGAACACTTAAAAACAATTCCCCCAAATTTCTCCTTCTCTTGGATTATTATATTGTCATATTTGAACAAAACTTTCCACTCCTCAAAAATTGCATCAGTTCTGATGGATCAAATGAAAGGTCTGTAATCAGAGTGTTTTCCCAGCTATGGTTAGAATTTTTTTTTGTGTGCTCTGCAATTCAACTTAGCAAGTGCGATATCAGAGGCTGACTTTTAATCATCATGCTAAGGAACAATGTGCTTAGTTTATTCCTGGCATAGCATGATATATAAAATCATTTACTTCACTTAGTAATTGTGTGTGCGCTTACATATTGCAATAAATAAATAACTCTCTCTGAGTTCTTCAACAAACCATAATCATAAATGATGGCTAATATAATATGTGAACTAAGAATTTAGTCCTATCTCATAGTAATAGAAGATGGACCTAGCCCCTTCTTCATGCATTTCAGTAATCCACTCTGAAAGATAGTGACCATCTTTACATTTATGGTAATGAATTCCATAGGTCGATATATGTTGTTTTCTTTTGCCAGTGCTAATGACCAGTCTGCTTAAAAATATGAATTTATGAATTTCAGTTCCTGATGATCCAATCCTAAAATTGCTAGTAAGGAACTCATACAAAGACAAATAAGTTAGATCATTCCTTAATGAAAATTCTGCAACTGGGATAAAGCTGCGCTTAAAATGTGAGAAGACGAAGTGTTATCTTCCATTTTCCTAACAGAAAAGCTGATAATAGGATAGCAAATTCACCTTTAGTGAAAACAGCCAATTTTAGTGACATATTTGTACAGGTAATTCTTGTTTAGCAACCACAACTGGGACCGGCAACTTGGTAGTTGAGTGAAGCAGTTGCTAAGTGAAACTGGAAATTGTGATCTTATTTCAGCTTTCCTTTGCTTTATAGACCTACAAAGATTGCAATGTGAGGTATGGTCATAAAATTACTTTTTCATCGCTGCCATAAATGTAAACAGTTGCTGGATGAGTGGCTAATATAAAGCAACAGGAAAATTTAAACAATACTACTGGCAGCCAAATAGAATTCTTTGCTACTTAGAAGTCTTCTGGAGCTTTAACGTTCTCTTTCTCAGGGTAAGTATTTTATAAAAATGCAAACATTGAAATGAGCATTTTGGAAGAATTCAAAGAAATTTGCTGCTGAAGATTTTCCAAATCTGAGCCTGGGAGAGACTTCTATGCCTCAAGCAAGAGTGTGTGGGCTCTTCAGAGTAATTCCATGACAATGAAAAATAAGATTGACTACATCAGAATTGCATTATAAACTGGATATTGTGAAATAATTCTTTTATCTCATGGACTTGGAAAGGATAACAGGTGGAACACATTTGTCAGCAGGGGCATAAATCCTGCCTTGCTGCTGTTGATTTTTTAAATTTTGCCCCAGGAAAAAACCTTAAGGAGGCCTATTGGTCTACTTTGCATTGCCAAGGGGCACTGAAGAAATGTCTAACAACTGGTTCACACACATTATTCAAAATACGAACAATATTGCTTGTACAATCTACAGGACTAAACAATGAAATACTGAATGCCAATCGTTTAATAAAAAGAATTTTTAAAACTTACCACAAAGAATTCTCCATTGAGCATCTAATTTAAAAAATACTGTGTATTTTGGTAATGCATAGAAAGAATATCTAACATCTAAAAAACTTGATACCACTGACATACAGCCTACTACAGAAATGCAAGCATTTTGAAGACAGCCAGGTCACATGTAAACCTCAGGGGGAAGAAATCAGTTGAAATGAAACATTTTAGTTACTGAACAGAGAAGCCCAATTTCCCTACCACCACCTCCTCAATATTTAGAAGGACTGCCCTTCTAAAAATTCCTAAAAATAAAAAGATTTCAGATCATTTGGTTAAAACAACATATAGAATAGAAACGAAACAACCACACACAGATCATCTACATAATGCAGCAAATCATCAGGGCAAGCAAGTTGCAAAGCCAACAAAAAAGAGAACGGGAGAATGCATCAAGTTGGAGCTGATTTTTGCACCTGCAGTCTTGCCGAAATGGAAAGACCAGCAGAGCAGAAGCACAGCGAATGACAGCGTGGATCATGCAATGATACGACCGGGAGAAGCAAGCCACTGCAGACAGACTTGTAAGGTAGTTAATGTACGAAAAAGCTTACTTCATTTAGAAAGCTCACTAATTGGTCTACCGTTAAATAATCTGTTTTGTCTCCATTGCTGAAAAGAAATGTATTAGAAAAATGTAAGTTTTCATGTAAGATCCTACAGCAGGTATGATTTACATGTTGACATTTCTTTTATATTCTCAGTACTGATCTAATATTCTTTAACACACCTAAGCTGCATTTTCAAAATGAATATTAATAAATGATACTGACTATGCTTGCTACAAAACAGCTCCTTGTCTCTATCCCCCCATTTAATAGATTAAAGAAAGAAGCAATTCAACATGTAAGTCTTCCACATTAAAAAACTTAGTGCATGAAACCTCAGATGTTAAGACTTTCTTAACCTAGTTAGTTCATATATTGTGTTAATAACCTTATAATAGCAAGTTAATATTATAGGTTAGTAAAGCCAATTTAAAAACAGAAAATGTTTCTTTAAATCAAAAGGTCCTGAAAACCTGAATCTGAACATTCAACTGAGTTAAAGTTTGGAGAAGAAATTTGACTTCTAATAGGAACACTGCATGACATAGCATTATCTTCAGATTAAATAACATTAAAATTAAGTTCATTATGTAGAGTAATGGCCAACTTACATTTTTCTAAAAAGCTCCTCTATATCAGTACGAGGACATATCTTCTGGGTCAGTTCATAAAACTTCTCAAAAGTAAAAGCTGAAGGCTCTATTTCATCATTCTGAAAATAAAATAAAATAAAATCTAACATGTACCAGGTTGTATAAGCACTGACTTAGCAATGGAAGAATTTACAATATGTTCATTATGAATGGAAGCAAATCATTTAATGTTATTTGACTAAAAAAAAATCTGGAAATAGTTCTCTAAAACAACAATAATGTACATTATTTTATGTGTATGGTATATAGCCTATTAAAATATTATAATTATAATTAGCATAAAAGTTATCAACGGACAAACTGCTAATGAATTATTTTTGAAGTGATATTGAATAATCAACTGCAACTATTAACTGTTTTAGGCTCAGGATACCCATCCTGAAACCCTTAATTCTTGAAAATTAAATTTAAATACCTTTCCACTGGGAAGACCCAATTCTTTAAGTGCCTGAAATATCACTTTTTCAGTTTTACCTGACGCAAACGTTCTAGTAATGCTAGAAAAAAAAGAGGATTAAATTACTCCAAACCTTTGACAATCTCATAATCAGAGCTGCATCACATGTCCTCTACTGAGATGACAATAGTCCATTAATGACTTTCTGTATTGACAGTGTAAAGTATCTCTTCAAGAATATTACAGTCTTATTTGGCTAAGTAAACAATTCCATCATTCCATTAACATACATCTAATGTAGTTTTCAGTGAGTGTGAACGTTCATAAACCAGGGATAATAATGAGGGAAGATATTAATATAGAAAGCTGTACCTATATAGGTTAGATACAATAAGGGATTAAATCCAAAGATGTTATAGAAATTTGAAGTTTAAAGAAAGATTATAATTTGAATTTTGTTTCCTCATATGGAGCTTCATAGTGGAATTCCTCTTTTAGCAGTTGAAGGCTGGGAGACTGAATTTTGCCACTTACCCTTCTGAAAGCATCTTTAATGATTTTTTTTTGTTAATTATTCCCACATTTTAGTTTTAGTGTAAATAAAATGTTTCCTTTTGTTGTTGTTTTCTTAATCTTTGTTGACATCTGCTGCCATAGCATGTTCTTTGTTTTTGTGTTTTGATGTTTTCATACATTCTTCACCTCACTAGAGAAATCCCCGCTGATCAAGAATTATATCGTGAACACAGGGATGTCGTATGTAGCGTTATTAGTCAACCATTGCAAAAATGGGTGTGATCTAAGAAACCTTCTCACATCATGTTCTAAAAGTAATCCTTGGCTCATCTCACTTCAAATTTCTTTCACCGTGCATGAACACTTTCTCAACTTTTTCTGAAGAGTCAACTTTGAATTGTAAAGAGATTTTTACACTGATCCCTAATCTCCATATAGTTCGGAATTTGTTCTCCTTTTTATACACACTAGAATAAAGAGATAATGTAGTCCACTGATGCTGAATATGTGGTCTAATTATTATTAGTTGTTTGCTTTAGCTTTATTACATTCGTGGGACAGAGCTTGGTTGATGTTTAAGTTCCATACCCCTTTGAGCAACAGTGGTCAATTTATTTCTGTGATTCCTTCTATACTTTCGCACTAAAAGATCAACTAGCACTTTTTGGCACCCTAACCCTCAGAAAAATTCCAGGTCAAAAGATCTGTATTTAGGTATAGCAGTGGGAACCTCAAAGGCAGCACATCACTAGGATAGTATCTGATTTTTTTCCAGCATGTACAACAATATGCTACTATTTTGCAGAATAATCTTCCCTTCAGAATAGTTTTGAGCCTATAACTTAATGTATCTGGTGAGCTATGACTTGGAGAAAGTTGAAAAAAGATTTATCACATATTTTATCTGGAATATTTAAAAATGGATTACACTATATAGCTGTGACATCATTGAACTGAATATCAAGCCGCATGGCACTCTGCATTTATACAATTTACAGTTAAATTGCACTATTTGTCTTTTTAGATCAAAGATTATCTAAACTACTACAGCTGCTGAGAACTGCAGCAGCAAGATTTGGAGAACTGCAGGTTACCACCATTATTATAAATCTACAATTACTGCTGTAATTTCTAGAATTATCAGTAGCAAATTAAATAATAACCTGAGCAAACACTTCAGATAACATCTTTGAGTCATAATTTTAGCAATTTGCAGTGCTTAACTCTGTAACAGGGGTAAGCATCTGGATGCTATTTGGGTGCTATATAGTATCTAAGCCAGCATGGAAAATAAAAAAGGATGTGAGACTTGCAGTTTAAACATTTGGAAGAACCAGGTGACCTATTCTGAATATTCAGGATCAATTCTAGCAAATTGTTTTAGAGAGCTAAATGGTTATGTTATTTCTATTACATTTCAATTCTATCCCCAAAATAACGGAGGTTTCTCTAGCAGGGTTATACAGTATCTGCATTGTTTATTTCACGATTGACTTGAGAACAACATTCAATCAGGATAGAAAGTGAAAGGCTTCTAAAAATATTGTTGAATCATAGATCCTAGATTATAGCATCCCTTTTACCTTAATCAACAGATTCCTAAACTACATTGATTGCTTCTAATGGACTTTCTGACTTGTGATTGTTATTCATTTTAATTTCACAACCATACAATCCCTGCATAACCCCACACTTGAAGCTTGCAATATACTTACCTTCTAACTGGAATTTTGCCATTAGTATTAGTCAGAAATGCCAATTTCATCCAGCTAGAAGGGGGAAAAAAAACCCATTTAGACTTTCCCCCCAGAAAAAATCCAATAAAAGCTCAATTTATAAGATGAAATGTGGAAAGAGAATAAGAGAAAAGCTATCCCTGGGATCTTTTATTATAAAGTATAAACCTGGGGCTTTAAAAGTTCACATAGTTTACATATGGAGTTATGTAAGAGCTGAGTCAAATATTCAAATATTAATCTTCTTGTATCCTTACATTTTATAAAAGACAAATTGCTACTTCTCGCCCACAAGACTAACTACAACTCTTTCCTACCACCTGTAAAGAAGCCTTAAAGGGGGCTTGAAATAAATTCAGCTTGATAAGAGAAGATGAGATGCAGCTTTCTCAAACTTGGGCAGAAAAAAGGTCAGATTAATGAAAGTCAGTTGCAGCTGAGCCATGACTCTATTTTACAATGAACCTTGGGCTTATAAAACTGGGATAAACAATGTTTAAGGGGCCACAGGTCACTCTGTCTCTTAGCCTTCTTGTTGGGGAAGGAGGCCATGCAGTGATATCGTGATACCAATGAAAGTAACAGGGCTGAAATTTTCCGCCTATTTTTTTAAATACAAACTGCTGCCATTTTGACCCATAACACTGTCCTTTAAATTCCCCTCCCCCTCAGCCTTAAAAATTCACTGCTAAATGTTATTGCCATTTCAGGTTATTTTTCAAGGGCTGGGTGGACAGTTTTTTAAAAAAGAGAATAGAAAAGATTTGCTTCACGGAGGCCTCTCGTTCTTGTTTCTACCCTTAAATTTTATTTGTTGGGGGGGGGGAAGGGAATGAACACCAGAAAACCACTTTTGAAAATTGTGCTTCCTGGCTCTGCATGTTTGTAACATGTCCTTGGGATATTGGAGGACACGAATTGACAGTGGAGAGCCACAAGCAGCCTACAGACATTGTTCTAAAAGTTCTAATTGAATCAAAATGCTCCAAATTTGGATACGGGTAAAATCTTAGCAGCATAAATACTCAAGTAGGAAAAAAAGGGAAACGATTTCCTCTGACTACTATCATTCTGTTATCATACCTTCTTTAATGCTTTCCTTTACAGTCATGCTACAATGAACACAATTTAATACACATTAAATATTTAATTCAGCAGTAGTGGATGAGAAGCTTCAGCTGAAATGTTTTTAGCATCCAGGAAATAAGACAACTACTGAAGCACTTTTAATAACATTTGTCTGAATATCTGCATGCTACATATTATGAGTGAGAAGAGGCAATGCTGGCTATTCCATACATGTTTTTGCTCTCCAGAGAGCAAATACGTTAACTTTTCCATTTTCCCTGAGCAAAGTGAGTAATGTGAGATACGCTTAAGTCCTTTGAATGAAGAAAGGCAGGAATTTCTGCACTATGGAAAGTTCTGCTGAAAGGGTGCTAAAAGCTACAGGAAGAGTGATGTAAGGGGGAGGGACTGTTAGTGTGTCTGCATATTCAACACTTACTTCAACTTCTACAATTTGTTTTCCAGATATATTCTACAATAATCCCTGTCATCCACAGCAGAGATGCTTGGTGGCAAGTCATTCAGCCTAACATTTTGGAATGTAGAAATGATCATGGTTGGAACCACATAATACATGCAGCTTGATTAACTTCCCCAAGGGTTCTTCCTACATCAGACCAAACTATTCCAAGTAGTTTCAGAGTGAACAGAGGGCTGAAAGAGTGAGTAAAGAGGTTCTTGAATCTTCTTCTCAGATGCTTCTTCTCTAAATGTCTTTTTAAGACTCTTATGTATCCTGAGGACTCGTACTCCCAAAGGTGCTTTTTCAAAAGACAATTGTTTTGTTTTGTTTTCTCATCCAAGAAGCTTCTTTAGTTCTGGATGAGAAGTGAACCATCTTCAAGGAAAAAAAAACAAAGAAATGTCCAGTTGCTTTTTGAAAAAAATACCTTTGGGACAACCATGACCTGGATAACTGAGAATTTCCATAGACATTAAGGAATTGTACCTTCTATTTCCCCTCAGCAACAACAGTTTCTGAGGGGAAATACCATTTAAGCAACGTGGGAAGGACTAGAAGAACTTTTTCAAACTTGTTGCTGCTAAATCTTTTAGAATTCCTTTTGAAGAAATGGAAAAGAGGGTTTACAAAGTGGAGAGCGTATAAATATACTTCATGATAATCTGAGCAGGGTAGGAAGATTACACTAAATTATTTGGTCTCAGTTGCATTTTCCTAATGTTTCAGAATATTCTATGGGAAATCTCATCAAGAAAAGAATAATTCAGCTCTGGATCCATAAGAAATAAAAACATTTATATGTAAGTGGGCAGCAGTTCTCCCTCCAGAACAAAGAAAAGTTCAGGCTAATAATTACAACTGCCTCTCTCAACAGATCATAAAATCCAGCACTAAACACCCTCAACAGCTGAACGCGTGTTTGACTTTGGGAACATATTTTATCTGTGGAAAAAAATGTAAAGAATAATTTAATACCATATTTCTCATGGATGTTTGAATTGTTGGGAAATGTCTTCTGCAGCTTATCCAGATATTTATTTCTTGTTGTGCCAAATAAGGAAAGTGAGTTTTTTCTAAACGCAAGTCAAGGAACATGCAGAAGGGACAAAATTGTAATTGATGAGGTGAGGGAGGTGGGGAAGCTTACTGTTTCTTGAGGCATGTCGTGGGACAGACATTGTTGGCTCTGAAGTTACCCATAACTGATCTGAGTCCATCAACCCATTGCTGAAAGACAAAAAGATAAAACAAATATAGAGATCATAGTGACTAGTCCACCAACCAAATTCAAAAGCATTTTTTTAAACTACAGAAACATCTTTGAGTAACATGTTAGAATAATTAGTAGTGCTTGTAATAGCAACTCTAGACTTACTTGGAAGATTTTTTTCAAGTATTCAATGCACATCAAACAATACACAATCATCCCACAACACACACATATCCCACATAACAGGTTTCTCCCCAGGCCGCAGAAAGGAAAATGATTGGGAAGGGGGATATGACTTACTTCAGGGAGTTCACAATGTTCCCGGTCATGTTTCCCAGAACAATTATCACATTTAGAATAAATATTACAACTGTGATGCCTCAACAAGGGAAAAAAATCCAGTGGTTAAAATGCTGGCCTTGAAACCAGGGGACTGTGAGTTCTAGCCTTGCCTCATCCATGAACGCTGGGTTGGGTGACTTCAAGCTAGTCACTCTCTTTCAGCCCAACCCACCTCAAAGGGTTGTTCTTGTGGGGAAAATAGGAGGAAGAAGGAAAATTAAATATATTTTCCACCTGGGGTTTCTTATAAAGAAATAAATCAGGATAAAAATCTAATAAATAAATAGAGATTTGATGGAGTTTTCTTTATTCTTTTGAAAAACAAAATATGCTATAGCTAAAGTATTGCTTCTTACAATCAACAAAACTAATTGTTTTATTAATCTTTTCATTAATAATCCATTAAAATACCCAAGTACTTCCTTCACCTGTTTTGATACCTTTTGTACATAATTAAGCAAATTTATTTATGGTACTATTAGCTGAACTGAAGACAATTGTAAAGGAATATTCTGTTATATACGGCTCCTTTCCTTTATTTTTCATCTCTATAAAATAGTGCTCCCTTCCCCTTTTTACCTGTATAAAAGTTTTTCTGATTTACTTAAAAGTCTTTTATTGAGCAAATTGTAGTTACTGTTTGGATACTATCTACAAACGCTATACCCATTCTTTCAAATTTTGTACACTGTGAATCAGAAGTGCATATACCTCCAACTGAATTTAGTAGCAACCAAAGGTACGCTATGAACACAGAGCCTTTCCAGGTTGGTATAAAATTAAACTGGTATAAGCAAGGTATAATTAGAATAGATGTAACATAATTAATAAAGTTGGTAATCCAGTTACCAAGGAAGAAAGGGAGAGAAGAAAGAATGACTGGTTTCTCCACTCCAAACTTTGGATACATCTAAAATTATAAATCATTTTTGATGCACAAATAGCTCATTTTTATGAAGAGTTCCTTGGACCACATTCTCAATCATCTGCAGGTAGTCTTCCACTTATGCAGTTTAACAACAGTCTCAAAAAAAGCGATTTCTGACCTGTCCTCAAAGTTACGACCATTACACTATCCTCAAGATCATGTGGTAATAACTCAGGCATTTGGCAACCAGTTTGCATTCACTACCAACTGCAGAATCCTGTGATCATGTGATAGCAGTTTGCAAGATCAGCCAGTTTCTGACATGGAACATCAATTGGGAAAGCCAGATTCATTTGAAAACCATATGATTTGCTTAACATCTGCAGTAAAAGTGGACATCAAATCAGTTCAGTCATGATGACTAACAACTGCATCATTTAGTGACTGAAATTCTGGCCCCAACTGTGGTCATAAATTGAGGACTACCTGTATGGGCAAAAGATCAATGACAGTTTTATCAGTAGGCATTTGGCACAATTTTTGCTGTATCTAATATCTAATAATTTCCCCCCTCCCAGATGTTTGATGGCATTCAGAGCTAACTATCTTAACTAATAAATATTTACAAACTAGTATTTAAACCCTAATTTCTATTCAGTCAAATAAGATAACAATTCTCTTTCTCCAGCCTTCTCCTATTGAAAAAAGCTTGTTTTATTCAGATAGCTTCTCTTCTTTAAATCATTATACTGAATTCATATATTTGAAGTACAAATACAAAATTGTGAAAATAATCTCCCATTATGAAAAGCTAGGGCTTTTTGCAGCATATGAAAGATTAAAATGTATTAAAATGTATATGTAATCAAGATGGACAGTGATTAATATTTATGTGTTACTTATATGTAAGGGTGTAGGTTTATACATATGTTGTTTATATTATATTTAAATGTGTGTTATGTATGTGTACACTTTCAGAGCAAGGAACTAAATTTCATTTTTAATGTGTGTCATTGTGCCCACAGTAAAACAATGACAATAAAGGTTATCTATCTATCTAAAACAAAGTAAAAACAAATAGCCTTTCACGTTTTAAAAATGAAAGATTTAAATTTCTTCTACAGTTGCACCACTAGGCGTCAGCAGAGGTTCAGAATATAATACAGTTGCAGAATGGACCAGAAATTGGGGAAGAAAAATACATGTTGATATTTCTGTAAGATAATATTGCAACCTTCTTGATTTTAAGAAGAGAAATTGTGGAGATCTGGACCTTACAGAAGTGGCACATGAACAAGTAAGGAATTCTGAATCCATAATTTTGTATCAATCAATTTAGTATCTACCATTATTGTAGTGACCTTATACTCTATATCTCTTTCCAAAATTAATAATATATAAAAACTGATGTCCCCCATGAACAAGCTCCAAATGCACAGAATGTCTAAAAAGGTGAGCAAAGAGAGTAATAATTATAATCCCATTTTAATATTATCCTACCCTTTCTGCAAGGACTTCTCCAGCCACACACATTTCATGCCATAACCTATAAATACCACAGAGTACAATCTTTGGCTATCTAATAATCCAAAATAAGATCTCTCCAAGCTTACATACACACCTTACCCAATGACTTTACACATTTATGGCATAATTAATGGCATCATCTGGCGATATAAACCAGAATTTGACTCCATCCCACCTCACCTCAGACTGTAAACAAAACTGTTTCCTTCCAGTTGATTACCTTCTATATGAACTGCAGAAATGTTACACAGTTCAAACAAATATACATCTGTTTTATAGATAAATACAATTTTTTCTTCATAAAAGTATTATGAAGTGCATCACAAATAGGGGCAGCCACTTACTGTTATTCGTTTATTATATTTCTATATCACCTGTCTCAGCTAAGTGACCCCCAGAAGGCTTACAATAAAAAATATACATATAGTATAAAAGTATAAGATAAGGACAAAGTTAAAAACAAAATTTAAAAGGTAGCGATACAGCAGTTAAAAAGTTAACAAGGGGAAGAGAACACCCTCACAAAACCAACCACCACATATATCACATATCACTTTTTGGCCTCCATGCCAAATAGTAGAATCAGTTCTTTTGGAAGGCCAGAAAAAAGGGAGGGGGTTGCTTTATCTCTGGAGTTAAGGTGTTAGAGAAGGTGGGGGTAATGGCAAAGAAGGGTCTCTTCCTGGATGCCACCAGTCAATGCAATCCTTTCAGCAGTTCCAAGAGGTATTCCACACCCATTTGCACTCTGATTCAAGTGATCCTGAGGGCACAGATTAAACCCCCCAAATGGTCTCACCGGCTCTCAGAGAGAGTGCTAATGGCCAGATAACTGGAAAGAAATACAACCCTTCCACCATCATCCCCCAATGCTGTCAGAACTATCCTTCCATCCCCCCTCCATCACAACTGATGAAGCTTCTTGGAGGAGAAGCAAAACTTCTTTTCTTCCTCAAAAAACAATAACACAAAACAGTCCAGTTGCCTTTTGAAAAAAAGCACCTTTGAAATCCATCAGTAAAAATTCTTTCACCTGTGGGATCCACAACATACCCTCCTTGCCTGACCAGGTAGGGATGGGAAGATATAATTGGGACAAGACATTACATTACAACTTCAGTTTTTTACCTTCTCACTTCCTATCCACAGCATTCTGATTTCACAGTTTTGAAAATCTTTTCTTCAGTGTATCTTGTATCTACTACCATTAAGTTTATTACTTGTGCTTGTCTTATAAAGAAAACAAATGATTATCACTCCCAAAAGAGTTAATCACTGACGATTAATAATCATCTAGACCCAAGCAAATGTGGCATTTAGCTGTGCTCTAGTCCTATAAATTTTTACTTTATTTTCTCAGGTTATAAACAACCTTTGTTCAGCAACAGTGAATTTGGAGGATAAACAATCTAACTCAAAAACATTTATAGTCATAAATTTCTCCACAGCTGCTGGATATATATGAAGATATATTTTCTAGTAGGACTGCAACAATTGTCTACTTTGGCAACCTTTTTCCTTACATTATCTTTTTTTTAAAAAAATTATCCACTCCTTTGTTCTAAGTATGTCACCTCCTCTTTCCAAATGGTAATCTGAGTTTCCAGGGACAGAATCCTTTTCTTACTTACTGACCTATATAAAAAAAAAGTTTATTCACCAAGCATATTTAAAAGCACTTCAGTTTCAATCCTGTGAATGGTGTCATAGGTGTGCATCGGTATTTTGGATGCTTTCTGTACTTTCTGTACAGAAATATACTCTGACAAATAATTCCCACCAATGCAGAATGATTGCCCAAAGCCTTCTCGATCTAACATGATGGGTAATGTTAAAGCTGGTATCACATATTTGGAAAAAACACATGAATGTGAAAATACAATTTCAAATTAATATGATTCCTCAAAAGTCTAAGAGAGCAGAATACGAGACATAAAGCAAGGAAACAGAGGGAGTGATTTACATAGTCAATATGACAAAAGGACACCCTAGTATTCTGGAACACATGTAGCTAAAAATATGTAAGAAGAGCCTATCAGAAACAGAAACTCTGTGTATCAGGTAGAGAGAAGAATGTTACTTTATACCCACATTCTCAGCTTGACTACCATTTGTCCCACACAGAGTTTAGTTAAAGACTTTAATTGTTTCACAGGATGTACGAGTACCTGAATCTTTAAAATTCATTAACTCACTATCCTAAAACCTATTTCAAATCAAGGCCACAGAAGGCTATTTCTTTACTGGAAGAACCTCTGCAAGGACAGGCTCTGCTTTTGCATTTGCCTTTATTCTCTGTTCTATAAGGAAATAAACCCTCAGGCAGAATTTAGGAACTGCCAGGTTTTTCAAATCGAGTTTAATATTCAACGCTTATCTTTGAATTATGCAATTCTTACATTTCTGCATAAATGCTATTGTCTAAAATCCTTGTTTTATTATTGGGAAATTTATACTGGATAAATTGTAATCCAACAACATCTGAAGGACCACATGCTTCTCAATCTGTTACAAAATATTATTTTTTACATATAAAGATCAATGAAAACAGAGCTGGAAGGGACTTGGAGGTCTTCTAGTCCAACCCCCTGCTCAAGTAGGAGACTATATACCATTTCAGACAAGTGGCTGTCCAGTCTCTTAAAGACCTCTAGTGATGAAGCACCCACAACTTCTGGAGGCAAGCTGTTCCACTGGTTAATTGTCCACACTGTTAGGAAGTTTCTCTTTAATTCCAGGTTGCTTCTCTCTTTATTGGTTTCCATCCATTGCTTCTTGTCCCTCCCTCTGGTGCTTTGGAAAATAAGTTGACCCCCTCTTCTTTGTGGCAGCCCCTCAAATACCGGAATACTGGAAAACAACACTACTATGCAGCTATCCTTTAAAAAAAAACAAAAACTGGAGCTCTTTATAATAAACAACACTTGCTATACCTTAAAGTCGATAAATAAATTCTTGATAACAATATATTCTTATCTTCTTGTTTGTATTAAATAAGAAAATGTAATACTGTGTATTAAATGTTAATCATTGTTTTGTAAAAGCTTCTTTGGTTTAAAATGCTATTAAATTATCATGGATATTAAATTAAGCTTCTCTTTCTTCTGGCAGATTATCTGCACTTACTCAATGGTCCCTGAAGTAGCATCTTCTTGAAAATATAATCTTTCCACTTCATGCAGAGCAGCCATAGTGTTTCTTCTAATACTAGAGCAGTTCTGGGGAAAGTGCTTTGGGATCTAATAAAATTAGAGTATCTCCTGATCCACCCCAGACATGTTTCTGAAATATCTGACTTCCCCTTTTTCATAAATGAAGAAGGAAAATGGCAATTGTAAAAATTGCTCTGCCAGTCAGCAAATACCTCTGTAGCATGGATAAGCAGTTTGCAGGGAATACACAGAGACATAGACACAAACACACATTTTCAAGGCCCCTAAACTTGCAATATAGTGGCTGAATTTTGTTTTGTTACTTCCATTAATCAAATACCAGACAGTTCATCCTTCCTTACTGTACAGCCCTTCCCACCATTAAAGACAATATTTTTTTAGGAAAAAGTGCAGATTATGATCTTGCGTATAAATTTGAAGTCAGTCCTCATCACTTCTAGTTCGAAGGGTTACAGATGAGATCTCTCACTGCAGTGTAATTGCTTATCACACATCAACACACTTCCTAATTGTCGCGCTAACATTTTTCCCATACAGAAGAAACACCCAAATAATTTGAAAACCAGTACACCAATTCAGTTGAGGGATTAGCTCATTTTTGCCACGGATGTCAAAAGATCTGGGTTTAGATTAATATTTGCCAACCTTCTTAAAGAATAATAGGGATTTACATGGAACAATAATGCCACAAAACAGCAAAGTTATGTTTAGCGGCAGTACCTTAGCGTCTTCAGTGCTTTCTGCTACAATGTATGTGAAGTTGATGTTCACCAGATCAGTGCCACTACAGACACAAATTATTCGCCCTTCAAGTTCATTTTCTGCTTTACTGACAGCCTCAAGAGCAGCTAATATTTTTGGATCCTGTTGAACAAAATTAATTGCTTGAAAAAAACACCATGGATTAAAAAAACAAAACAAAAACATATCACTCATTTTCACCCATAAGCATTTCTTATTCATATTTACCTTCTTTATATTCTTGTCATTATTCCAAGCATATGTTTAGAAGTATTTCATTTTCTACTTAGGGAGCTGATAATAGTATACACAGATCATATTCACGTTAGTGGTTTATTTAACATTCTGCCTATGAAGTAGTAACAAGAATTCTTGGGTTCTGAGTGCAGTGACCTTACCCAAATGAAATACTCCGATAATAGTTATTGGGGAGAAAAAAAGTGTACCTTAGGATACTCTTCCCCAACTGGCCCCTTCCAGATATGCTACAACTCTCAGAATTTCCACAGACAGCATATAGTCCCAAAATATCTAAGAGACACCAAGCTGGGGAAAATATCTTAGGAATACATCAGTGGCTTCCATTGCTTATTCAAAAGTCTCTTTCAGATCATGGGACCTCTTTTAAATAAGTCCGTATAAAGGACTTACACAAGACTGACTTAAAAAGCCCATTCTGGAGGCACTTGCTTCATATTTAGCATTCAAGTAAAGTTTTATTTCCACTCTAGTTTGCTTGAGCAAATGAAATGGGGGTGGGTGGTGGGTGGGAAGGACTGCTTCAGAGAGCAATTTTTTGTCTGGGGCATTGTTGATTTTCAAGTAACATTAAATTTACCTTTCACAAACCATTTTGTATTTACAGGAAAATTTCATCACCCCAACCAACTAATCATTACAGGATTTAGGTTAAATTCTTAGAAGTATGATGTAGTGGTGAAGGTGCTGGCCTAGAAACCAGGAGACTGTGAGTTCTAGTCCCACCTTAGGCATGAAAGTTGGTTGGGTGACTTTGATCCAGTCACTCCCTCTCAGCCCCAATCACCTTACAGAGTTGTGATTGGGAAAATCAGGAGGAGGAACAAATATTAGGTACGTTCATTGTCTTGAGTTATTTAAAAATAATAAAGGCACAATAAAAAAATATAAAAAATGGGCTATATTATATCTGTCTGCCTTTGGATGAATTTATGTATACCAATTTACATTCACAGGAGGTGGTGTCTTCCTACCACCAGCCAAACTAGCCAATACTCCCATTGCAGACAGGGGAGTAGCGTGAATGTGAGAAGCATGAATAAAAAAGTATCAGTCTGTGAAATTAATCATTGACCCTATGGCCACAACAGACTAGACAAAAGCCAGGGCTAAGGAAAAAGATAAATTTTTAGGTAGCCTACTCAAAACCTACTGTCATTTTGATGTAAAGCTTCCAGTTTATTGATTTCATTCATGAAAACCCATTTGGATGGTACCATCTTCATCAGAATCAGAATCCCAAAGAACAAAAGTATATTAAAATACTTATTATCATCCTTATCATATCCATCAATGGCTGAAGGTATTCTGAATCAAGAAGCCTTTATCTAAAGTCTAGATTTTATTTGTAAATGTTTATGATATAATCTAAGCATCAGGACAGAGCTTCTTAGTGCCACAGATTTACATGGGAAAATTTCAGCACATGCTTAAAAATTTGCCACTGAAAAACCCATCTATGGGTGTAATACAGGGTCTTCAAACTTGGCTGCTTTAAGACTTGTGGACTTCAATTCCCAGAATTCCTCAGTTAGCCATGCTGGCTGAGAAATTCTGGGAGTTGAAGTCCACAAGTTTTAAAGCGGCCAAGTTTGGAGACCCCTGGTGTAATATATCCTTTGTAGGTAAACACTTCTAAATTATCTGATCCTCACCAAAAGTTAGTTTCTAAAGCCCAGTTTTTCAAAATTAAAAAGTCATTGTCCCTTAAGGTACAAAGACTTCAGAAGTTCTTGAAACTGAAGAAAGTTTCCATTCCTGGGCCTCAAGCCAATGGTAATTGTTTAAAACAATACTTTAAAACAAAACTACAGAAATACCTTTGGTATTGCTCCAAAACGAATACTGTTGATCAGGGAACATTCTAAAACTTGCCCTTCCTGGAAAAGAAAAGAACACTATAAATGCCAAGCAGCCAATGTGATGTATTTTGAAATAAAAAAATGCAACAACAGCTAAGCATTCAAATACACACAATCTGAATTAATATCAGGCAGTATACATTATATTAATATCGGTAAAAACAGACATGAGAAATCTGTGCTCTCTAGAATTTGTCAGATTCTAAATGCCATCATGCCTGGCCATGATGGATGAGATCTGTTGGGGGGGGGGGAAGAGAGTGCATAGGATCACAACATAGCAATCACTCCTGCTGTAATGATATGTGGGAATGATTTTGGGAGACCTGGTGAAGAGATGTTGCCTAAGGAGCAGTCAGATAAGAGGTAGCATAGCCCACAGCTGCATAATGGGCAAAGCAAGAGGCCCAGGAGGTATACTCCTGAAGTTATCGGGCTATAAAGGTCCTGTTCATTCTGCTTTCAACAAGGCAGAATTAGTTTACTTGGTCTTATTTCCTGTCTGGTCTACCTGGTAAGGCTGACATCTGTGTAAAGGTGGGGAATGTTTTGCTCTTCAGAGGGTCTTCCAGCAACGTTATTCCACAGAGCTAATGGTGAGATGGTGGAGTTCAGTAACACCTGGCCAAGGTTTCAGACTGTTACATCATTACCCCCAAAGAAAATAAATTCAGCAACTATTTGCTTCATTCACATCCCTCTCATAACCTCCTGCACCCAACTATACAACATGTGGACGAAATCAATGTTGAATTGTTAGATCAAAGGGAACAAAAATGAGTTGTTGCTATATAGATACAAATCTGAGGCAAGTAGAGAATGGCTAGAAAATATAGAACAAGATTTGCAAGTATACACACACACACACACCCTTCCATTCATAAACATATGATTCCCTTTCCTCCCCTTTTCACTATTAAGGAAAGAAACATGGGATGGAACTAAATTATTGGCAGAAAATTATTTTCTTCTCTTCAAACTAACATTACAATCTTTGGAATATTTATTCATCTTTATATTTTTAATAAGTGTGCTTATGGGCTTTATCTAGCCTAGTGTTCTCTAGTTGTTCAGTTTCAATTCTCATAATCTCCCTACAGCAATGTAACAGTAGTAGGATATTATGGGAGCTGTCTCAATAAATTACAGAGTAGAAGATTTGCAAATCTTTATATTTAGCAATATAATCTAAGGCCCTAATATTTGGACACAGTGCCTCCCACTAGAACAACTAGAATTGTACCTTATGCTTGTTAGAGGAGGCAAAAAAAAAAAAAAAATCATGAGATCATTGTAAATTTTACCTTTCCTTCACTTTTCCATGATAGAAAAAAGCCAAATTCATCAACTTTAAACAGGCAGCTTGGCTCAAAAACAGAAGATTCCTGTTGAAAGAGAAATCCAAAATATTCAGGTCTGCAAGGAAGAATTTAAAACCCAAATTATCCATCTTTTTTTAAAAAAAAATCAGAGACAAAATATGTTAAATGAATAACCAAAGCAGCAAAGTGGTCTTGTAGAAATGTTACTCAATAGAGTTAAATGGTGTGATCTTGAAGCACTCTAATAAGTTTACAGCTTTTACCTATGAAGGAATATTCTTAGGACCCAATAGATTTCTATACTGACTTAAGGACCCAGGTGTATCCATGTCTACCATTCACTGCAACAGTCTGTTATGATTCCTGCATAGGAACTAGAAATTAAGTTTTGTTTGTGCCATGGAAATAATCTCTTGCATTTATATTAAAGCACTGCATCCTGTTGGAAAAGTTTATCTGCATATTTCTAATGCCAGCTAGATATTTTTACATTTGGGATGGGGAAGTAAATACTGAAGCATATTTTTCTAAGCAAAAAAATCATTCAGCAAGCTACTTAGATTTTATTGTTGTATGCTACAATTATTGGGAATGAGATTTGCAACAATCTTAGCATGCCTTAAATGTTTAAAAATCATTTTTTTTTAATTTCAAGAGCTAAGAAAATGGAGTAAGATATTGCTAAAGAGGGTTATTGGGATTTCAGCCTTTTACTTAGTTATCATGTTAAAAAGAACATTCAGCTCATCTATAAAATGCTTGAGATTCCGTTTATGTCAAGCATGTTAAAGTATCAAACAATACTAGACTGTTATATTCAGTTAAACAAACTATCTGTTGCTTAAAGGAATGTTGATCCCATGGTTAAATAAAAGAACAACATACTGCATTTTAATCTTTTGAAATGCAATACAGTATGTTCCCTCTCACATTCCTTGGGATGACCTCTTTTTATCCTTTTACATTTATGCAAATCACCGAATTCTCTCCCTTGCCTATACGCTATATATTTTTTGCCCTGGATGTGGATAAAAGCTATGGTTTTCTGGCCTTCATTACCCTATGGCCTGTGGACATTCTTTTCTTTCTCTGCATTTTTCAATGAGGAATTTTAAAAGATGGCAAAAAGGTAGCAATTCAATTGCTGCCCATTCAAAAAACAACATATTTAAATACATGTGCACTCACCAACTTGAGTGGTGAGAGCATTATCACGTTTGCTGAAGGGGAACAATCATTCAGAATCTTTATATAGAGAGAGATATAATGTGGATTAGTATTATTTATAATTCTGCCTAGTGAGCAGGACTCTGGAGGAAGAGATCAGCTCTATTTTGGTTCTTTTTCTTCTCTTTATCATGGCCGCCAGGATGCTTAAGTTAGGTTTAACTCAGAATGAGCCCTCTTTTTTTGACCCTACCTTGCACATCATCTACTTTCATAAAAAGGTGGTGTTTGATATTCCTCTCTGAAGCAATAATGACCAGGAACAGATTTCTATTATTTGCCCTCAGAATGGAGCTTCCAGCTGTATTTCCAGATACTGTATAAGCTCCTTACCTCTTCGTATCTGTCAAAAATAGCTCCATCCTGTAGAAAGGAAGGCACTGACTTCTGCCAATTAAATTCATATGGTTTTGCCATTCTGTAGACCACCCTGGATAATAATAAAAAAAACAAATAAAAAAAATTGTTGCCATGTTTAATGCTCATAAGGAACTACAATACATGGTCAATTAGGACTATTCATACTGCCACTTGTTCTTTATAGTACCATAAATGCCGGCATACAAGGCGACCCGGCGTATAAGATGACCCCCGTCTTTATAGCCGGGCCGCATTCCTAGAACGTCGTCTTATACGCCGGAAACTACCAGTATTTCCCGCGTATAAGACGACTCGGCGTATAAGACGACCCCCGTCTTTGGCGCCGATTTCAGCGCTCGCGGAAGTCGTCTTACCGGCATTTACGGTAAATCCTAGAGAAAATACTCAATTCATGAAAATTCAGACAAAGCCTCCAAAAAATCTGAATTTTGCCTGTAAGGCAGTGGTTCTCAACCTTTCTAATGCCGTGACCCCATAATATAGTTCCCCATGTTGTGGTGACCCCCAACCACTTATACATCACTGGGTGCCAGGGGCGTGGCCAAAGAAAAGGGGGAAAAATGGCGGACAGACTTGTTTGGCGACCCCTGTGAAATGGTCGTTTGACCCCAAATGGGGTCCCGACCCACAGGTTGAGAACCACTGCTGTATGGTATCTTAACTAGCAATAACCACCATTTGAAATGTGGAGATTGTATAATAGGTATGCTCACAAAAGGCTCTGTGGAGGGTGCGATAAGAACAAAGCATTCATTTATCGGAAAGCTAATTACTGAGGATGCCTATAATTTCTGGCATCCAGGAGACACACTAATTACCCTTATTTACCTGTTTTTCAGATCAATGGGCATATTTCTAAATCAGTACCAATCCTTTTAATTTTCTAAAAGTATTCATGATCTCCTTAGAATGAAAGATGTACTTTGCTTATGATAACCATCTATGTGGTTTTGTTATTAGAAAAAAATAACATTTTTTAAAAATTCATTCTGGTGGTAAAAGCCTGGCTGGTAGCAAAGAAAATATCCATCACACTGATTTTAGTAAATATTTATAAGCTCTCATTTTAATCAACTGTTTGATTTTAAGTGATGGAATTGAGAATTAAACCATCATGACTTTCATTAAGATATTTAGCTGAAAATGTCAAACATTCAGGAATAAAAATGAAAACATTCAAAATACTATTTAATACTATTAATCAAGAGATTTTGAAGTAAACCCTGGGGTTATAAGTCTGAAAATATGAAGAGCATCAATAGCCAGAGGCAGCTAAAGAAAAATATATGAACTGGTGATCTCATTAAAAGCTGCAATGTGGAGAGGAAAAAAAACACCAACAAAAGGAAAGACAAAACAGTTTAGCCTTGGCAAATTGCTGAAAAGTATTGCTAGACAACATAATTTTCATTTGAATAAATTTAGCAGCCTTTATTTCAAGTTCTAAAAGACTACACTTTCTCTGCAGAATTTAGTACCTTTTAAAAAAAAATATTTACAATCTAAAAGTTTGTAGAAACAAATTTTGCAAAGGATTTCAGATCTCTGGCCTTTTATCCCCTCATAGGATAACCTTCAAAAGCAGAATGAAATGGGACTCAGAGTGGTGCTATTATTAAAAAACTGGGGGGGGGGGAAACATCTTGAAACCATGTTCAGCATTCTGTCCGTATCTTGTTATGCTATCCAACTCAATGGAATTTTGGAAACATATTATGCAAAAGCATTCAAGGCTCTTGTGGTCCATCTGGCTGTCCATCAGCAGGATAATTCCCCTCACCAAAGAGAGAACGGGATCAAATTTGGTATAGTAGTCAAAGCCAACAAAAGAAAGGCTGAGACTGGAAATTAGCTGGATCAGGTAAAGGACAGAAGATAAAAACCTTCCAGAAAGATTTCCCCAATGCATTCCCATGAGACAGAATAGGGCAGCACTTCCTTCCTAGTCATTTGACCCAAAGCTATTTTAAGGAATTGGAAAACATACCTAAACATTCCCTGCTCTGCATCCTTTCTTTTACTTATTTGATTACGAGAAGGTTGGGAAGTGAACTGTGATTGGAACATTGAATTAAAAATATCAAGAGGAGTTCTTTCAATACTTCTTTGCTTTTGTCTGCTGAAAATTAATGTAGTCGTAGCACATTACCTTAAGCAAACACTCATGACCTTCAGAAAATTATGTTTTAGAATAGATGAAAAATAAAAGCAAAGAAGTTCTGAACTCCTTGGAGATGAAGCACAATACAAACATGACTTTGTCCAATAATGAAAACTATTTCAGACTTGTAAAGGTAGGGAAAGGAAATTAACGTGATCTCAGAGCCCTGTTCTCTCTTTTCACCCTCTAATGTCAAATTGCTTCTGAAAGCAAGATACAGGAACAAAGATGTGCAATTATGAGAGAGGCAGAACACTCTTTTGAAAACTTGTTATCTCCTCCTGCAACTGCCAACTCCTCAAAATTCTTGAGGATAATTTTACCTATGCTTTAGATACTTTCCAAACCCAGATTGTCCATTATTTTATTTTAAGCACTCAAAATCATTTGCTACAATACCCTTTAAATATGCATTGTAAGAACCCATAATTATAAATGAAACCAAAATTTAATAATGTAATCTTTTCTTTGCCAGTGAAAAAGATGGGGCTTATTTGATTTCTTTCTCTAAAAAGTATATTGGGCTTATTTTTCTCTTATTGTATATTTGTGTAACACCAAGACTAAGCAAAATCTTAGAGGATTTAATATAAAGTACATTGAAATACTGGGTATCATTTTGAAAGAAAACCTCCAAGGATATTATATCTCTGCCCTACAATATAGTATTTCCTCAAGGGTGATTTTCCCCCTGGTCCTCCAACAGTTAATAGCGCAAAGGAACTTTATGTGTTATATCTGTGGAGCAAAGACACTCATGGGAGAATAGCATTTGTTGCTGACACATAGATGATGAAAATCAAATCAGTGTCCTAATGAAACTTTCAATCAGTGTTTTTTAAATTGCAATTCTTGACCATTTTAAACAAAAATAAGAAGCATACATGCAAAATAGAAATCAATGGTTCATAATTAAGTATCTTGTAGCTATCAAGGCTACAAAGGACACCAGAAATATATTAATTGTATAGACAGCTTCACTTCAATAACAATAAAAGGTAAATTAGCCAGATTTTACAAAGCATCTTGACTATAGTTTTAAAAATAATTTTAAAAAGTAGACATCATTTTCTCTTAATATTATGGGGAAACTACAGCACAATAAAACCTCTGTCATTATCAGTACATTCTCTGACACAGAAGGACAATAAATGCAGCACTGATATGAAATGCTTGCCGAATCTCTTCTCTATGGAATCAAGATGATGAAACTTTATGGGAACTTATAAAATAATATCAGGAGTTTGAAGCCTCTTGTTAGCAATCAAAAACTGAAGCACATATTGTTAGTTTGGATGCCAACAATAATGAATTTTGGTGATCAAAGTCATATAATCTTAGCAAAACCAGTTGAACAATGCCCAATTCTTTGAATTTAACAGTTCAACTGATAACCTTCATGTGACAATTTCTACAACATCTAACAAGATCATAAAGCAACTGCCCCACACTCTTTGGTCCAAAAGGCAAGGAAAAATGCTCATGTGTTACAAAGAAAATTGAAACCCATCCAAACGAAGTACTTCAGTAAAGATGCCAAGAAGTGATTTGAGGAAGAATACCTGAATATTCTGTATATATGTAATTCTCCCATGTACATATGATATCCAATATTGAACTTAGTTACAATCCTAAACAGTCATTTGAAAAGAAAATATTATAAGTATATTTATCTTAGTAACTGACTGTTCTCTAAGAAAAATGCATACAGATTACATATACTACAAACTGGAGAGGAAAATCAGAAATCAGTTTCCACAATTCAGAATCATAGCTTCACAACTGAATATAGCGAAGCTGTTTTCCAAAATGCCCTGATCCAGCATATATCTGTGATTCCACAGGCTGCAATGGTGAAGATGACTGGCTGATCAAAAGCAATGCCGGCAAGAGTCAGTGTGCCGTGGTTGATTTCAAAAAGTTAAGCTGGACCTAACTAGCCTTTGGACACAATATAACAGATCTACCTGAGCTGTAGGTTAGATAGCGAAGTCAAAAAAGACGGTGGGACAAGAAGACATTGGGGGGGCACTTTTGTGTTCTTGCCAAGAAAACTACATAGACATGTTGAGCTCCATTCAAAATAGGCTCTTTTTGGTGTATTTATTTCCTTTTTTAATATTAATTGACAATCACTTGTCCTATCTTCTGACCCATTGCTGAGCGGTAGATCTCATTAAGTGGTTATTTCCACTTCATTATTATCCACAGACACAGAAACGTTTTGAGGCAAAATCATTATTAATCTTTTCAACAACTGATAATAAATGTTTCATAAAATTCGACTGACATTATAACAACATCAAAGACAACTGAGAAATTTTTTGACCAAGATTCCTTAAATCTGGGGTATGAAATCAATCATAAGAACTTTTGGTTCTATATTTTATGAGTATTATACTGCAGGTAAAGCATTTATTTGTGCATCAGACTGAATTTACCAGAAACACTTTAACTCACACTGAAATTAATTTAAGAGGAACTTTGGCCAAATCAAGGACAAAAATAAATTGTGAAGGGCTGATTACAAGCCACTAATAGAATTCAGAACAAATGAAAATTCATTTACCTTTAAGTACTGAAAAAAGAAATGCTAGACATACTGCCAGCAAGAATTTCTCTAATTTCCAGAAATTTAATTTTAAAAAAACCATCTTGAGATTTTAGTTTGACATAAATAAAAATTAACTGATACTATAACAAAAAAAAGCGGGGGGGGGGGGGATGACAAAAGTCTTTAGTAGATAATCTAGCTTAAAATATGAACATTTTTTAAAAAAAAGATAAACCAAAATACATAAATCATTAAATGAAAAAGAAAGATCACATGTGCTTGATGTGTATTTTGGGAAGAGAGTGTGACTTCAGTTAATGCGCCTTTGGCCTAC